CCCGCCTACACAAACATACACCGCCGAGTGCACTCCTACTCACCCGACCCGCTTTGTCACAGCGAAAACAGATGTAGACAGGACAAAACCTACCACCTTGATTGAGAACAACCGCTTGCTCTATCATCATACCTTGATTAGGAAAGAAAGCCGGGAATGGGAATGCCGGGTCGTGACGACTCCCCTGAAAAGACTACGAAGCGCAACACAGAGGCTCGTAAAGCCGTTCCAACTCTTGCAGTACTCTTGCCATAGTCGGGCGGTAGTTCCGGGTCTCGTATGTGCAGGCCCGAACGAGATCGCCGAGTTCCTGCGCACTTTCCTCCGGGAAGTTGTCGCGGAGAGCCTGATCGACGATCGTGTGCCCTGACTTTGAGAAAAGAGCTTTCTTTGCCTGGAGAACCCACCCAAGCACAACACAACGTCATCTCCAAAACGTTTAATTAATTGAGGTAAACTATGCAGCAGTCACGGAAACAGGTTTTTTTTTTTTTTTTTTTTTTTTTTTAACCACAACCCCCCCTGCAGTGCTAGTGCTGCTGTTACAGTTTAAAAATGCACTTCAGGGATTCCCCCCGAGCAGAACACACCCCCACGTGACCCCACCGTACCCGAAACCTAGGTTATATACATTGACGATTACCGGCCCTTTTTTGCCTGAAGTGATTTTTTTAAAACTCAAACCCTGACTCCGCCCTAGTTTTCCCTCATTAATTTATGTTTGCAACTTTACAGTCGATCAAAAAGAGAATTTAAAAACGTCCGTAGCTAAAACTTAAACCACCACTGGCTCTGTCACTCTTGGGAAAAATGGGAAAACTTCAAAACTGGTTGTTTTCTCATCTTTTCCGAACTTTTTTCGGGGGTTGGACGAGGCTCGGCAGTTGGGCCTTGTGGGCCCCTTCGAAAAACAAAAAGAAAAACAAAAGATCATGTCAGGGAAGGCCGTGCACCAAGTTGTGCTCACGCCAAAACTCACACGTTCGTATCTAACCGCTATAGTGGCCAGTTTCAGGCTTTCATTGTTTGTGTTTTTTGTTTTCTTTCTTTTTTCAGTTTTGGTGCCCCGCCAGGGAGGCACGGTACGGTCCACGGGCTGCTGTCACTTTGTGGAGGGGGGCACACCCACACTATTACTCTGAAGAATGTATGAACCCGCTTTTCCGGCCAGACTTTGAAGAATGTATGAACCCAGAGGTTTTTTTTTTTTTTTTTTTTTTTTTTTGGCTGCGAGCGGGCCGTCTTTCAAAAGTCTGGCCGTGCTTGTTCTTTTTTTTTTTTTTTTTCAGGAGAGTACCAGAAATGAAGCAAAACGGAACCTAAGGTCGGCAAAACTCGGTGCGCAAAAACAGGCTCGGAGGTAGTGGTGGTTTAATAGAAAAAACTTGATAATACCAAAAAAACTTGAAAACAATTTCAAAACACCCATATTTTCAAAGCTTGTTCAGAGTCTCTACTCTATTTTGTGTTTTAGCTTTGACTCAAATATACGACATAGAGGATAATTTTCCGATAAAACAGCGCTCTTTTTTTCATTGCATGGATTTGATTCTCTTCATTCCACGATGAGCTAACTACGACACTGTGGAAGGCGACCGTCATGGTCTGGATTCCAACCTCTACAACAACCTGGATTTTTATTGTAAAAAAAAAATAAAAGGATCAACATCCATGTGAGAAATTAACTACAGTTGCCGAGCCTTTCAATCTTCGACAAAAAGAAAGGAAATCAGCAGAGTGAGTCTCATCTTCTTCTTCTTCTTCTTCTTCTTCTTCTTTTTCTTCTTTTTCAAAGTTCGCGCAGGGACACTAAGCGGGGTGATTTGAGCATCCCCGGTAAGTGGGACCATGCCGTGCAGGGTGCAAAAAAAAAAGAGTTTCTATACTGCGACATGCTTGCGAAACTGAACGCGCTGACTTTGGTGATTTTTCGTGCCGACATTTTTTGACGAAAAGAAACTGAAAACAATCAGGGACACAGGTGAGTGCTGATCTGTCTGAGAATTTTCAATTTTTTTTTTTTTTAATGCAGCAAAATTCTGGCGGCAAAAGAACACTTTCTTCTTTTGCTCCCTGCTGATACCAGTACACCTGCATCTTCTTCGTCTGGTGGATCAGGCTAAAAAAACAAGTGTTGGTTTGTCAAAATAGCATCAGGGGCAGTGGTGGCTTAACCCCCGGGGTCACGGCAAGGTTCAGCCTAACAGATCGAAAAGGCTAACGGCGCCAGGTAGGCCCCTTGCCTGCCTCGGTATAGATTTTGGCCCAGGCCAAATCAGGCACTGGGAGACGGAGGATGGGCCAGAGGGAAGGGGTGGTTTAAAGTTTACACCACCCCTACTAGTACATCTGAAGAATCAGCAATGAGCCTCTTTTTTTCGAAATGTTGGGGGACTTTCGACAGGGCCCTCCTGGGGGGGGGGKGCCTTTTCTTTTTTTTTTTGTTTTTTTTTTTTGGTTCAGTGCCGCACCTGGTCCATCCCCAAGGCAAGGGACAATTTTTTTTTCCCCACCCGCTCTTCGAACGCCGTGTCCCGACTCCCGAGCCTCCAAAACTTTTGCAGACCCTCAATCGCTATTCTGAAGTTGGCTGGGCCCATGTCCTGGTGGTTTAAAGTTTAAACCACGGGCCCCTGCGAGAGCCTCTGTTCCCGACCCCATTTGCTGTTGCGTCCCAAAGAAAAACACGCGACCATGTATTTTTGCCCAGTGCTTTGGTCCCGTTGGCAGGCCGAGCCCTGGTTCAAGAGGGTTAGGTTAATCACCGCGCATCGGAACAAAACAGCTGGGGAAAGGGACTCGGGGTCTAAGCTGGTGCCATGTCGGTAGAGGCTCTGGTCATGTGCTCATGGTACATGGCGAAAGCGGTCATGCATGCAGATGCTACGTTTGTGCTTACTGAGCATAAACCTGGCCAGCTCTACAGCCAGGTTCATGCTTCCTAAACGCAGACATAGCACAGCGACGCCAGACCCGGAGAGCCCACAAAATACCTTGTTCTTTCGAACGGACTTACCACTATCTAGCAAGGACCCATGTGGTTCAGTAGATTCTATGCAGACTGACACACTTTTTTTTTTTTTTTTTTTTTTTTGACAGACACACATTGCAAGCAACCAAGAAAAAACACGCGAGCATCCAGCGGCCTAACTCAGTTGGTAAGGCTCGCAAGTGGCATTCAGGAGGTCGTGGGTTCAATCCCCATTGGCCTCATGTACCTTCCTGGGCATGCTTGGCGCCCGCCACCTAGAGATAGACCACTGGATCCCCCGACTGGCATTTAGCAGAGTCTGCTGATGTTCATAGGGGAGGGGACCTGAGGGGAGGCACAGGGATTGGTCCTGTTGGCATGGTCCCTAATGCTACCGGCTGTCCCCTAGCCGGTATCGCCCA